CATGCTAGAATGACAGGTCCAGCCCCTCGAAAATAACAAAAGTTCAACGATATCCGCTTCACTATAAATTCTGAATTTTTAAACACGTGTAGCTATTATTCCTATTATTCTGAAAAGTGCTGGGAGCTGGTTGTGCATTGTTGATTTATTCCGTAATGTAAAATTATTCCAATGCGAATTACATTTTTGACTGGAGTTTTTAGAAAGACGGCTAAATTTTAAACAATTCCCGAGCATGAGGAAGTTGCTCCCAGCACTTTTCGTGTTAAGGAATTTGTCTCAAAGAAAACAGAATAAATTTTATAGCGTAAAAATCGTTGAATTTTTACGATCTTCGTAGTAGTACATATAAGTTCTAATTTTAAAACTGTCACGTGACAAACAGCTGATGTAAGCTATGTCCTTTTGGCCGAACTCAGCAGAGACCCGATATATACAAGTGCAAACACCACATATCACATTTATCAAAACTAATGCTGTTAAAAAATATTAAAATTGTATTCATTTTCCCTGAATATATAAGGCGTATATTTCATGGGCGTCCTTAACCTAGCTGCGTTCATCCTCGCTATCCATTATATACAAAAAGCGTCGTGTTATCAACTTTGTTCTTCTCTATTTTTATCGTAATCTTTTCACCATGTCCCAAAAAAAAATCTTCTACGAGTGAAAACAAGATTTCATTCACCTATCTACTAATCATAATGTACTTTGAACCAAATTTTTTCTTATTAAAAAAAAGTTATTATACACTAGCATGATTTATTTTACTGAATCCTTATGATTTGGTTGTGGCGACCATTGAGATTTTTTTTCATGTTTGTACTACAGATAATGATAATCAAGCTAAAAAAATTAAATTGCATGGATACGACTTCTTTAACGCGCTGTTCTATTTGCGATAAACATCAAAAGACCGAAAGTTAATTTGATGGTCACCACGAGCGTCAAACAAGGTGAACAAGTTACATGTATACACAGGGACTAGTGGCTAAATGTCAATCAATTTCAAGCACCCAGTGATGGATCTTAATTCACTTGATTGACGGGGAAATACAGACCAGGTAATTCTGAGAGCGCTGCTTATTATTTCGGACTTTAAAATTTTTTTTGTTGTTTTGCCTTTACAGAAATATTATCTAACGACCTGGACCGTCACGGTAGCTCAGTCGGTAGAGCGCTCGCTCCGTGATCGGAAGGTCTTGTATTTGAATCACGGCCGCGACTGACCTAAGTCGATGAAAAATAGGTAGCAACTGTTCCTTCACCAGGCGCTAGGCACTTTGAAGTGAAAGCTGCGGGTCCTTCTGATGAGACCTTAAAAGTCGAGGCCCTGTGTCACGGAAGGCGTTGGCACGATTAACAACCATCACTGCTCAATGGTCCTGAGTCCCGAATAAAGGTCTAGATTTGAAGCCCTTCACCGGTATATGGTGACGTCTCTATATGAGTGAAAAATGCTCGCATGGGACGTAAAACAACATACAATCAATCAATATAACGACCTGAAAACGATACCTAAGTGCAGGTAACACTATAAAATTGGCACAAGCGCTTAAATCTTTGGTTAAGGGCGGTGTAATTTGATTTTTTAATTGTGGGGTCTTGAGTTGTTTCTCAACTATAAATCAAACTTGATTGGTTGGTCTCATCCAGAAGCCGTCTAATAGAGTTAAATTACAAATGTCTCATGTGATGTTTCTACTCATCATTATCACTTGCTAGAATTAGAGTAGATTTGTCCCTATATGGAAAGTAAGAATTTTATCATATATCATTTTTATATATACAAGCAGTTATAGGTAAACTTCTCTGTATTGAACAAATGGGATTTATGAATGCAATTGGAAACATATTTTTTGTGTAATGCTACAAAACATAATAGTCCATCTTAATGACTTTTCCTAAATTACTACAAAGAAGGACATACACAGAAAAAATCAAGTATTCCTCATGTAACTCAGGTTTTAGAACAACTTGTATTATGTTGGAAAAACAACTGCTGTCATAAAAAGATCTTACAAAAGTGTTTTCCTTAGAGATAAAATTACAACGAAAGTGGATTAACCACAAGCGGAGACCATAATATATGTTAAAACAAAGTGTTTGCAAAAGATAACAGTTTCTTGAATTCTTACGGTACGCCTTTTAGTAATGGATTTACAATTTTAACTCAAGTATTCATACTTCAATGAAAGAACATACATAATTTCTCAGACCTTAAAGTTTTCTCAACTCACTAATCAGACTATAGCTTGAAATACCAACATGAACTCCAAGACTTGGCTTGCCTTTGTGTTTTCTGCCTTATTTGTACACATCAAAGGATTGTCCATTGTTACAGGCAACGACAACCACACCTTAACTAGTATAAAGGAAGTTATAATACAGATGTTTTTCGACAACTGCTAAACCAAGAAACTCTTATCCGAATATCTTTGGTGAGGGATATGACGGAAATGAAGCAAACTATCACCTCATTGCAGAAATGGCAGAAAGAGAGTTCTTCATTGATATCGGATTTACAAACAGAAATGGCTTCATTAAAAGAGGAAAATAAGAAATTAAAAGAGGACATCAAAATGAATTTGACAAACAATCGTATAAAAATTGAAGTAAAAATAAAAAATGTGCAATTTGGCTAAATAAAGATTTCTTTCTTTAACGATGTGTTTCAATGAATATGCGAATTGATCAAAAAGAGCTTATAAATAACATGATGATAAAAATCAAAAAACAATATTTGCAATTTTTTTTATATTCTATATATTTACTAAAATATCATTGCATGAGATATTATCAAAATAGGAAGCTTCATTTTGTCGGGGGGGGGGGGGGGGATGTAGGGATGGGAAGTACTTGCTCATTTAACTTCTATCATATATAATTGGCCGGTGTTTCCAACTACTATGTAAAATATATATATGATATTTAGCAAGTTATACTTTCTAGGTGTTGGTAATATTTTTGAAATACAAAAGCGCTAAGAGACTTAAAAAATAGGGGAATTAAGTTACACTCCCACTCTCGACATCTGACAGTATATATAAAAAACAATGAATATAATAACTTCTTACGATTGGATTAACTCTAACATCGTTTTTGTGGTAATTCTGTATATTGAATTTAATACAATGCTTTATTGATTTTCGATTGTCTTTAAAAATGTATTCATTTTAATCTTTTCGTCCTATCTTATTACTACATAATAAGGATCAGATCAAGTGATTATTTAACAAACTGGAGTGTTCCAAGGAACCCATGTGTCGCCTGCTTTGTAGCTTCATTAAAGATGTAAATAAATCTATAAGTGGTCAGCTATTTATTTACTATAGCATAATAGTTCATGCATTTGCCTGGAAAGAAAAAAAATCTAACGGATAGTATTAGACTGCAATAGAATCTGACAATCAAAAATATATGATTCCCCAACCCTAAAAGAATAATTAAACTGGAATTATAATAAATAATAATTTGTATATACCGGAACATGTGTAATTAATTCGTGTTTCCAACAACAATCCAAAAGAGTTTTGAGTCTGTCTTTACTGCAATTGTCAGTCTACACAAGCCATTGTAGAATACAGATCCCGATGATGGTATTTAAATATTAAGTTTGTGTGATAACTGAATATCATACAGTTTTAAAGTACAGTACCGTGAGCTCATAAACATGTATATATGTTTAGTATAAAAAAAACCTGCCCCTCAAAATTCAAAAGACATATAATAAACTTGAACTGTCCAGGGTATTTTTTGCAAAGTAGTTCAAAGGACAAGGTCAATTTGATTGTAACAATGCTATTTTTCATAATAGAACAATCAGTGCACATGCTACATAGAATAGACTTACCTCTTAAATGTGAAAAATATGTTGTTTATCGGCACTATAGAATATTTTGAAAAGTAGGTCATAGGTTGCGGTCAAGAGTCAGGAAGTCGGTAACTATAGTAATTTACAAAAGCAATATATGTGCAAAATATCAAATCAATTCCTCTTAAAGTTCTCGAGATATATGAATTTACAGACGGACAGATGGAGAGATAGACAGACAGACGGACGGACAAACAGTTGCTGGGTAAAGTGATCCCAAAGTGTTACTCTGCTTTGCAGGCAACACAAAAATTAAGTTCAACACATGTGTTCATTTAATCAAACTGATTCATTTTATCCCTTTTAATGCAGCTGTTTCTTTTAATTCTATTTTGCTGAAGTTATTGTGATGTACGTATGCTTCTTAAAATATACAACTTCAATTTTAGCGTCTATTTTTTTGAAATGATTTTACATTTAGATTTAAAGAAAAAGGTCGGATTTACTGCTGGCATGCCCTGTCATTCCCCGGCTGGTCCGGTGATGCACTGGTCCTTACAAAGGTGATCACCAATATTGGAGGTGGTTATAAATATAACACAGGGATCTTTAAGGCTCCCGTCGCAGGGATGTATCAATTTCTTGTAACCGTAGTTGGATATAGATATGACGATATATATGTGCATATCGTATCAAATGGAAATCCAAAGGTGACAACGGTATCTGAAGATACTGGGATCTCGCCTTACCAAACAGGACGAACATGTTAATGGTAAGCCTCGAACAAGATGATACTATTTGGATCAAACGACAAGGAGGTAGCGGATATTATTCAGACAATCTTCCGATCACCACTTTCTCCGGTTTCCTAATTTAATGGACTTTAATCTTAATATTTGAATTTTAATTACAGCACAGGATAAATAGGAACCTGAATATACTTTTTTCAGAATATTACATTTAAATAATATGAATGATAAAACTTTATAGTTTTCAGTCTATACAACAAACAAACAAAAAATGCATAGATACATTAAAGATTAATTCCTTACATGCAATAGTGTACAAATCAATCATTAAAACAGTAAAACTTAAATCATGATGGAAACAATTTTTACACTGACTGAAATGAATAATGATAAAATATCATTACATTCTGAGCTTGGATTCGAGAGTTTTTATAAAATTATTTCCCTTCTAGTATTGCTTGGTGTTAGAAGATGAACTCTACAAAAGAAATGCAAAAGTACATCAGTTAATATCAATTTTTAAGAAATATCAGAGTCAAAAACAGTACACATAAGCATACATACCTTCAACGTGTCCAGTTGTTTTCTCAGAATCAAATTTTCTTGTGTCAATCGTTTCATATGAAGTTGTCCCTGAAATATGTATGACAGTGTATAGGCATTGATTATTAAATATCATGTTTCTTTTGATAACATTTTGTTGAACAAAAAATATTTTGGAATAAACTATAATTGTGTACTAGTAATCAGGAATTTTAATCAATAATTATACCGATACATATTAAAAACTGTAAATAATGTTTCAGCGTATTATTTTATTTTTTATTATATAATATCATAAATTTGTAATACATTGATAAACAAGTCACAATAAAGATAACGCTTTTTCATTATATTGCACTTTTTAATTTGTATGAAAAGTATAAAAATCAAGGAAAATATCGCCCTTTCAACAAAAAATAGTTTTATTTTTCTTTTAAACATCATAGATTTCTTATTGCAGAAGAAGGGAGGAAAATATCCATTCAAAATTACTTAGGACCGATACATTAGAAAAGGATAAACCATTAGGGGTGATTTCTTTGATTCACGTGTACAAAATACCTTTTGTCTGACTACAGCTGTCAATGTATAAAGGATAGGGTTGAGTGCTGAATTTATGGGTAATACGAGAACAATTATCCAAGCATAAACCTCAATGGAAACTTCAGTTCCAAAGAAAGTGACAGTGCCTGAATATGAAAAGAAAGCACTGAAGATGTTTTAAAGACAAAACGAATTAATCTATCAACTCCTACATTGCATATTTTACATATATTCTTCCAATGTAAATATCTTAAAATAATTTAGTTGATAAATTGCATTAAAATTACTATACAATGTACTTTTAGTATTTTAAATTATTTTTCTAGAAGTAAATACATTAGCTGATGCCATACTCACCAATAATTCCTATTGGAATCCAGCAAAACATGTCAGTGATAACAATGGCTATGAGCGTTTTTGCCAAAGAAATCTCCCTATCTCTGATTTTGGATGTCCGGACATCTTTCCCTATTTTCAAAGCCTCAACAAATATAGCAATTTGTCCAGTCAAAATCCCAATGAATAAAAACGTATTAAGCCCAACAAAAATAATCATGGAGTATTGCCAGCCAACTTTTCGAATGACAGAAAGCGGCAAAGAAATGCATACACCCGACTGTGAATAAAACTCGTCAAAGAAAGACGTGGGAAACGGAAATACTGGAAGTGTAGCCATCAGTAGCGACAGTGTCCAAATGAACAAACAAATGAAAATTGCCCCTCTCCTAGAAATTCGTTTTTCCGAAATAGTATATTTGATAGCAAGAAATCGGTCAACAGTTATAAGAAAAACAGTAAAGACGGATGCTTCACTTGACACAGTAGCAACGATGCCTGCTAGAATGCAAAGATAACTATGCCTCCAAGTATAATCCATCAGTCCATACTTTCCTGCATACTCCAAATTTACTATGGCTATAATGAACAGATACACACCCATGAGTAAATCTGCACAACTTAAATTAATGGTAAGGATGAGATAACTAGCTTGAGTCTTACTCTTCAAGTGAAACAAATTGTAGAATAGTACCGTTAAGTTTCCCAAAAGAGCAAGAGGCGCCATATACCAAATCGCAACATTAAGTATAGGTACTGCAATCAAATAGTCACAAGAGGAAAGTTCGTTCACTGGTGCAACACACTCAATGTTATACATCGACTGTGGTTTAGCACAACAAATTGAAAACGATTCCACCTGTAAGTACCGCATGTTTACTAATCCATGGAAGATGTCACTAGAGACACGAAATATATTGTTCTTTTGAATGTAAAGGTAACGCAGTTGGCTCAACGATCTAAAATGTTCTCGTCGAATTCGAGAAATTTTGTTTTCTGATAAATCTATTGAAACTAATAATGTGAGATCTGAAAAAATATCCACGTCGATGTGCTCGATAAGATTCCCAGAAAGGTTTAAGCTTACAAGTAACACATAATAGCTAAAATCTTCGCGTCGTATTTTGGATATTTTATTAAAGGAGATATCTAAAATTGACAGTGGATAATATTGAAGTTTATCGAGTTTAGCATAATTCTTTACTATATCGTTCAGCATATTATTCTTTATGTAAAGAAATTCAGTATTTTTACTTATCACAAAGGATGTAAGTTTGTTTCCGCTCAAATCAACCATTCTAGAATTTATTGATAAACGAGTTTGATTTGGAATATTGCAATTGCTGAAATTGGTTGAAACTACCGTTTTGAAATAACCAACATTTATCTGCTTTGCTTCATTTAAATTGTTTTGAGCAAAGTAAAAATAGTCGAAAGTTGTGCTGAAATAGACAGAAGAATTACTGACGTCATTGATAATATACCAATTCATTGTGGAATCCATAATAAGACTTAGTGTTCCTTTTGAAATATGGAGGAAATGATGTGGTCCTCTAATCGAAATAAACAGAGATGTCCTTTGCGATTCATCAAAATTGAAAACCGTAGCATTTTTTGCGACTAATATGGAAAAAAATTGTATATTCAGATTGTAAAACCATGCATAATTTTCATCGTTATTTGTTACGCTTTCAAGGTAGAATTCATTGCATTTCAGATTTTTGACATAAGCACGTGTGACTATACTAGAACATCTACAGGCGCTACAAACTTTGTCGTCCCCTTTACAAAAGCATGAACTAGGGGAGCCCTCAGTTGACACACTAAAATTTTCCCCTTCACAAAATGAACACAGAGACGTGTTTAGAGAGGAATTTTGAGTGTTAGGCAAAATCAACCCCGAAGAAACACAGTCTTCTACAGGAAATTTGCACATGCCCTTCAGCGACTTTGATATTTCTGCAAATAAAGAAAATCAGTTCAGCAATAAAAGTTTGATGATTTTGCTTAAGAAAGAGAATTTTTTCCGAAGCAAATCATATTCTATATAAAAAAAATGACATTCAGATCAATTAACGATCATTACTTCCATTCATATGTTTTTCTTATATATCCCAGTAACTGGAATGAAAAAACTTAGAGTATGCACCATCTTAATTTGATGTTTTACTAAATATAGACGATGAAGTTCAAAGTCAGTTAAAGTGCGCCAAAACTAGTTTGTTTGAACTAAATTGTTTGAATAACGAGATGAATTTAGCTTTTCCATTTCACTATCACCTGAATATTGTGTTTATGCCCCCGAACTTAATATTGTGTTTATGTCCCCCAACTTATTCAATATTCAAAAGCAGGAAATGTGAGCGTTTTTTGATTATATTAATCATTAATTAATTCAGAAAAAATACATATATTCGAACTTCGATTTATTCATAGTAAAAATTACAATTAAGAACTATTTATCAATGGAATGATCCATTATAAAATGATATCGTTGATATTGCGTTTGACTCACTTACCGTCTACATCAGCATTATTGCAGAGTCCATACTTGACAGCCACTTCAGACAATAAAATGGCTTCTATTCTACTTCCTTGAAATATTCCTTGAAAGACTATCTTTAGATAAATAAAAGACAATTTTTTACTGATTTTCTTCACTAAATTTAAAGGAGGCTCAATCCTGTATACGAAAGCTTGAGGCAAATATTTTAGCCTATGGCTTGCTATGCTTCAGGCCCATTACCTCTTTTATTTCTTCCTGCTTTGCACAACTTATAGGAGAAAACTTCGTTTATGCAACGAAGAAGCATAGGATAATCAATTATATTTAGCAAAGAATCTGTAGAATTTTAAATTTATTGCAGAATTTGTTGCATCTAGCTTGCACTTGAGATGGTCATAACAATGGAATACTTTGCTGTCTAGCTTTCAAAACACTAGCAGAGAAAATTATACCTGGACGTTTAGTTTATTACCTTAAAGTCGGCTTGAAATGGCAAATCAACACATCCTTCTGTAACATTCGTTTTCCGTGAAGAAGACGCCCCGTGAGCAGCAATTATCTTGCTTTTGTAAACTGCAATATCTGTTAGATACGAAATTGTCAAGGCTGTGTTTCCATAAAGGAAATACTTGTAGTGAAGACTTCTGGGAAGATTGCTAAACAGAAGACTTTCACTCAGTATAAATGACGTACGAATCCTATCCAATCCAGGAATAACAATGTTTGTGTCAACAAAACCAAATGCGAAACTCTCCAAGTTTTGAAACCCTGTAATATTGAGATGCTGTAGATTATGTAAGCATATATTTTGTACCTTAATGTATTTAAAACGAATTATTTTTAGCAGCAAACATGGTCAAAATTATAGTTGATTATTATAGTTAAGTCATATCTAGGGTGAATTAAAAAAAAAAGAATTATGATTTTAAGACCCATACACAACACTTTTCATTGTGATCATGCAGAAGGTGATTTTACAATTAGAATTACATTGTTTTAATCAATCAGCTGTGGAAATTTTCACACATCATATTTTCCCCAAACGTATTAAACAAAATAATTACAATCAAGAATAAATCACATAATCAGCGACATCTTATTGTTCCTCCTCGCACATGGTGTTGAAGATTTATTTCCTGTATATGTATTCAAACATCAAATAATTAATTGAGAATGGAAGCAATATCTCATTTATACAAGTGAGAAAACCCCAGAGCAAGTTAATATCTCTTTTCCATATTAAAAGAACCCCAAGTGTCAAATGTAAATTTCAATCTGTTTAACTTAATGTAATTTGATTGATGAACTTCGATACCTGATTTTATTTCGTCGACAGCTAGATCACTGATCCTCATTCTTGTCCAAGTAATTTGGCCTACATATTTATCTGGGGATAAACAGTGACTTATGTTCCCCCCTAAGCCACAGATGGGAATTCTTTCTCCTCCTTTGGTGTACACTTTGACACTTTTCCAACTGCACGTGTCCTTACTGAAGTCACACTCAACTAGAGAATATTTTTTTTTTAAACAATATTTTATTATGATTAAACATAACTGGATTGGACAGCAGGCACTGCCTATATAAGTCCTCTCCACTAGAGAATATAATGATAATAAAAAAAACCTGAATACATACTTCGCACTAATCTTATACATTTGTGTGAAAGTTACAAGTCAGCTGATGGTCTTGGAATGAAATATTTAATTTTCTTCTACCAAATAAAGAAACGAAAATACTACCTGATTCAGTAGATGACACCTGGGACGAAACCAGAATCAAACCAGCTATACACACAGCGCGGACAAGATGTTTACAGATTATTCTACACATTTTCCATTTAACCAGTTGTTAGTTATCCTTGAATACAACATATGTATCAATTGTGCACAAAATATTCCTTTTGCAAACATCAATGGTAAGCACATGGATGGAGCAAAAAGTTTATTTGTTAATTTAGAGTACGAATTTGTAGTAATTTCGCGGGTATGTTAAGGCTACACCCAGAGATATACTACTTGCCTCTACAATATGACGTCATAGTAAGCTGTATGACGTGAAGTTTAGAAATAATGATTTCTTAAGAGCCATTCTCTGTAATGACTTGAACTTTTATATAGGAGCTGTGGCACGCATAGTATCAGAATTTCTCCAAACTCTCTATAATAAAAGTCTTTGATACCGTAAACTCAAATCAGGCAAAAATTGGTTGCTACGTGTCATGGTTACCATAGCAACATGTCCTAAAATTTGAAAAATGGCATTTTTCAACATCTTCAGAGTCCCACAGTTAACGTTTGCAGCAAAGCAAACAAGTGGCAATGACTGTTTCTGAAAGTTGAAGGCCTGGTGTCTTAAATGCATGATAAACATGTTTAGTAAATCATCTATAACATACGTTACTATGGAAACAAAGTATTCAAAAGTAATAATTTTGTTCATTTAACTTTATAAAGTCAAACAATTAAGAATAAAAACAATTATAGGTTGAAATGGAAGCAAATAATAGAGAAAAGATCCTTGTAACATATACCAAGGACAAAATATGATATTTCTTATAGGTTGCCAATGGTTGCCATGGTTTTAATACCACGAAGGGATTTTAAATTTACTCTCTTCGTGTTTTAATCTTATCCTATCTTTTTAAAAAGCATATTTCTATATAACTGATGATCAATTTTTAAAGGTCTTGGTGTGACCCTAATTTTCACATTTCAAAAAATTCAATTTCAATTCTTTAAATAGTGCGTTGCTATGGAAAGAAGGCGAAAAAGCATGCATAAAAATCTGAAAAATACTCTTTTTCCTTGGATACGTACCGTTGTATGTAGATTCCCAAAACTTTAATGATTGATATATGTGAGCAACTAACATGACTTTCAATTTTGACTATCACCCAATCTCTAACTGGATGCAAAAACCTGGCACATAGGGTCTAATATTGACAAAAAATAAACAAAATCAAACATTTTCTCTTCTTGGTAACCATAGCAACAGTGTTGTATTTTTCAACAACCTTCATCAATATATGATATTCAACTTTAGTTCTACGAGATAAGTACTATTCAAGGTGATTCAAATAATGTGTTTCTTGATTAAAAGGTTAGTAAATTCCTAAAGCTGCAAAAAATATCACTTTAAACAACTAGTACGTTGTTTCCATGGTTACACTGCAAAGTAACAATTAATCTCAATTTTTCTTATGTTGTCGGTGTTGCAAGGTCCTAAGGATGCATATGTGCCAGCCATGAATTTTATTGTTTTTCCTCACGATAGTAGTATTAACCCAATCATAGTATCAGATTTTGCATGGTGACACTGTGTTACCATGGCAACCATGAAAGTTATTTTTAGAATAATATTGCCAATACCTAATTACATGAGGTCAAATATTTTTCATTGTTTTTCTTACGTTGTTGATTGAGTTTGATCATGTAACATCTATCATTTGTGACTACAGAGCGTTTTTCAGCATTTTTCAGCATCTGAAATGTATTCCAAATGTACCCATGGTTACCACTTACTTAGAGATAAATTCTAAATAGTTTCTTTATAGCATAAGTGGCAACAAGGTGTCATGTTTTTGGGAGAATGGTTTGTTTGTTTTTCTTAGTCTTTATTAAGGCTTAATAAAGATTTAAAGTCGCTGAAAATCTTAATTTTTTCACCTTTTCTGGCTGTTACCATGGCAACCAAGACACATAGCAACGACATTTTATTTGATACATGTTTCTAGTGTCAAGTTGTAATAATGGGCAAAGTTTCATCAAAATCGGTGACCATGCGTAGCAAAGAAGTTTAAGTGGTTACAGAGAATCGCTATTAATATCTATAATTTATAGTTTAATTTCAGGTCCAAGAAATGAATGGAATCATTCAAAAACATAATATAAACAAAATCATGTCGTTTTTGGGTGGTATAAACAGCTTAGTATTTATCACGGGGGCTAAATACCAAACCCATGACGTCATAACTATTGATCAAATATTTGCCGAGTGAAAATTAAACGTGACGAGAATTCATGTAATCAAATATGCAAAATGGGAGTTTTCAAGCATATACCATGAATGTTATGTGTGATTCATAAGGAATTAAAGATTAAAAATCAGGTACGCTGATATATTCTAATCATGTTTTCTTATAATGAACACAGGCAGTGCTTTAAAATCCCGATCAGCCTTTCCTCTGTCGTTCTATACCAACAAAGTTGCAAAAGTTCAACACTACGCCGCATACTTGTAGACATAATTTTTGTTAGTATCGAAAGCTTGTTTTCTATAGTACTTGGAAAGTGCTGCTAGAATCGTGTGATTAACATGAATTGATGACAATTCCTTGATCGTTTGTACAAAATGTAATAATTTTGGTAAGGTTTCATGCGAAACTTTGGAATAATTTTTTCTGTGTCGGGAGAGTAGGATTCTGGCAGCACTTTTCATGACCCAGTGATGTTTTTACATAATTATTTTCACAAAAAGAATTGAATTATACCCGGGGTAGTGTTGAACTTTTTACTTTTTCATTAAGGCAATTTTTCTATTTATAGACGTCACGTGATGACGTCGTAGTGGAGTGCTTCTTTTAGCCTAAAACCCAATGAGATCTATACAATGAATAATTATAGTAAATGTTTTATCTATGGCTTTTCTGATTTATCAATGTTACATTTTACGAAAAAAGTCTAAATTCGCCGAAATATGATCTGGGTACTGCCTTAACATACCTGCGTTATATCTGATGCCACAAAACTCTAAAGCATAAGTAACAATTCCAACACCCCAACGATTAAGTTGATGTTAAAAGTAAGAGAACCGTTATTAAAAGTCAACTCTGAAAACTACAACCTTATTACATGTATCTATTTCCCTAAAAAAGCCTTTCTTGTGCATAAAGCACTGCATGTCTGTTAAGCTTTAATGAAAACCGATATTTAAGTATACATTCATATGTAAAAGATTTCATCACCTATTTAATTATCCTTAAATTATATCAAATATTGGTAAACTCAGATAAGGATTCTATTTTATTCCGGAAGAAAATAACATCTTGGAAATCTAGAATTTTGTCAAAAATTTATAACGATTTATTTTTCTCAAATAGCTCCATCTGGGTTAACTTTTATTCTGAAAGAGGAGAACAAATCTAGATATCAAAAATTTTGACATTTGTTTGTAAACTGATTGATCTCACAGCCACTTCTGGCTACACAAAGCCCAAAAGAGTCCACCGATTTTTTTTTTATTGCGGTAGGCTTACATACATTTTATCTTTAATTAAAAATCCGTTGAAATAAGAACGGAAGTCGGAATCTTCACATGTAGCTTAATCAGCAAAGTATTGTTCAACACATTTTTATCAAGTCAACAAACTTAGAAAGGGGAACTATGATCGATTAATATTAAAATTGGCTAAATATATGTCATTTTATCATCTTTTTAAAATTTCTTTCAAGATTAAGAGTTGATAACCGGTTTATTGATTCTTGATGTATATTAAAAAAAAATAAATCAAGTATTACACTTTTACAACCAAAAATGAAAAGCTATTACAGGAAGAAAAATTGCCTAAAGTCCAGCTGTAGAAATGTACCCATAAGCATGTGTTAAATGAAAATAAATAAAAAGATCAAGTAGTCCTCATACTTAATGATATTAAGATGCACTTGTAATCCCGAAACAGTCAGTATATGTAAAGCGTCTGTTGAAGAAATTGACGCGTTTAATTATGTAGTTAGCACTTGTTAATTTTAACAGTTTAAAACTGTACAGTAAATATTATTAAAGATAATTAGATAACACGAAATTTTTTAGCGCAATTTCAATACCACTTCTATATTGAGGTTTTTGTCTTTTTAAATAAATTGGAGTTAAAAATATTTGTGTGTTAAACTTACCCGAGTGAAGTTCGACGACCTTCTGAACTCAACACCGAATACTTTTGTAAATAAAATCGTACTTTATTTTCCAATATTAAGTTGACAATGATTAATAATTTAAATGGTGTAATTTATCGTGCTTTCAAATCACGATCTATAAGCAGAAAATCGTTACCGAAGACAGTATTTGCCCCAAAGGAGAAATTAAACCCATGAAATTTGAAGTGATTACTTAAATTAATTGGTGGGAAAGTGTTTAGAATACAATTGAGAACTTAAGAGAAGGGATAATGTTTGACACTGTTACAAAAAAAAATATAATAGACATTTCTCTTTATGCAATAGTATCAGGTTTATTTCTTTATACAGTATAATTATACTGTAAAAATGAAGGTAATTTGGCTATCCTCAATTATTTTGGAAATAATTGAAATATATTGAAATTATTACGAATAAATTTCCCAGCAGCTGTTATGTGTTAAGTATACTAAACATAATTTTGCTTTTTTAACTAATAATGTTCGTTTAAACAC